TAGTCAGAAATTAACTGATTTTCGGACCCGAATCCCGAAATAACGCCAAATCCAAAACAAAACGAAACAATTTTTTTACGGGTGCACATGTCTATTATTAATACAATAATTTGTAGTCAAAATGGGGGGCGGGACATTTTTCCTCTTTTTCCTTGACACATAGTAATGATTTTCTCTGATTGGAATTGTCATTATTTTGAATTTCTCTTCCACTAAAAATTGTTACAAATGGGTGTAAAAATAGATAAAAATGTGTGCTGGAAAAAGACAGAAATGTGGTGATGTTTTTAATCAAGAGCCTTAATGCAGAGAGGAGAATCTGCTGCCAAATGACGTTTCCCGTAATTGAATATACACTGAGAATTAGTGGTAAGGACTGGTACACACAGGTCCAAGCATTAAACCTTAAAAATACATTCAAGAACCTTAACTATTAACAAAAATGTATCTTATTTGTGTATCACTCGGCTGCAGATCCTCCATTCATCTCTGAATTGGTGTGGCCACTGTCCTTCCTTCTGGAGGGTGACTACTTCTGTTCCCCATGGTCCCTGTGTGTGTTGTAAAGTAGTCACAGCTCCAAGCTCGCTCCCGGGATTGACTAGTCTCAATACATTTGCAAACTAAACATGAGATTGTAGTCCATGACAGAGCAGTGATTTTGGAGCGGCGACTACTTTAAAACACACACAGGGACCATGGGGAACACAAATAGCCCCCCTCCAGAAGGAAGGACAGTGTCAGCACCAATTCAGAGATGATTGGAGGATCTGCAGCCAAGTGATAAACAAATGATACATTTTTGATAATAGCGAATGTAATTGAATGTATTTTTACTCCTTACGGCCTTCGAGAGGATCTTAGGCTTCCCAATCATGTGATCACTGTCATTCTGTTACAGTAGTCATGGTATCAGATAGTAAACCGTGACCAGTTGCCATCCCAGAACAGTAACGCCGGCTGTGACATGTATATATGTGGCAGCGCAGTGTTACAGCCCACCATCATGCTGCCACATACAGGTGAAACTCGAATAATTAGAATATCGTGCAAAAGTAATGGGTCTATCTCATATATTAGTTTCACCTTTTAAGTTGCATTAGTGAAACAAATGAACTTTGCACGATATTCTAATTATTCGAGTTTCACCTGTATATACACATAGCCAGCTGTAAACGATTAACATAATATATATGCAAAAGCATTTTACATTTCCTTTAACTCTTAAAGCGGACCTTTACCCCCTTTCACTAAAAATCACCTCAGCGTGCAGCTCTGCATGAGGACATGAAATCATCTTACAGTTAAACAAACATATTTTTCTTTTACTTACAATGATTGTTTTTTTGCACCTCATGGTCCTTAGTGATGTAATGTACCAAGGCACTGCATCCTGGGATTTGCTGGAAAATCTCACCTGTAAACTCACAAGATCCAAGGGAAAGGCATTTACCTCCCCTGAGATGATGTGCATGGTTACATGTCCTAGTCACTGGTGCCGGTCCAGGAAGTAAAGGGAGATATAGTAATCTGACTTTACTGTGAGAAGAGAAATAAGGTATGCAAAGAATACAAAGCCATCAATTATCTCTTAGTATCTGTAGATTGTCATTGCTAAACATTTCCAAAGCTGTATTTGTTATCATTTCTAAGATAAAAGTTCCTCTTTAACTTCCCTTGCAACAGTTAACATAATCCCTTAAAGCCTTTGTTCTCAACTGGTGGGTCACAATCCCGTATCTAGTGGGTCGCCATATGCCTTCCACTGCATCAGGTGAGAGGCTCCTCAGCCTCCCCCTTGCACAGTAGTGTCAGTTCTCACGCCGAGCAGCCATTCAAAATATGCTGCCCGGGACCAAGTTTCAGCTTGAGATGCGTCAGCGTGCCCTGTAGAGGTGCCTGGACCAGAGTTACATCACATTCTGGCTCCCAGCACCTCTACATGGCGTGCAAGGGAGCTGTATTAAAAAATGCACAGCAGCCCACACTGAGGATCCACTCCAGTTCTCGTAAGGTAGGGAGACACGGTGGATCCTACAAAATATGAAATTTGTTTTTGGTGTGTATGAGATTGTGTCTGTGTGTGCCTATTAGTGTTTTTGAGAGCCCGTTCACACTAGCACAGTGAATTAATTGCAGTCCTGACATTTGAATGGCACGCCAAACACACCCCCTGCCCAGTTTGATTGCCCGCACTGGAAAGTGCAGTGCCGCAATGACGTGTGTTCCAACTTGGGTTGAGACTTAATGACCAAGTACAAATGTGTGTCCTGAGGTTACACAGGTTGAGTGTTGAATGTCTCGGTGAATGTCCAGCGGGCTCTGCTACAACCATAATGCTCCGGTAGTCAACCGGTAAGACGGGGCAATTAATCAGAGCCGTGCACCTCCCTGTCCCTGCACATGGGAGGATGTACTCCTTGTTGGTGTCTGATGGGGCCATGCCAGTAGACAATGCAGATGAGGCAGCTTCTTATGACTTATTGTATCCTAATTAATGTCAACTAAATTGATTGGTGGGGAACAGATTTGCTACCTTGCCAAGGCCCCCATTGGTCTTAATCTATCAATTGGAAAGAAGTCATAGGTTAAAATAACAGGTAATGTTGCGCGCATACGGACACCAGGAATAAGTCTTCTGCAGTGTTATGAACAAATCATCCTTCTCCTGACTTCCAATCAGAAATGAAAGGCCCTGTGTTCCCCTTCCTATTTCTCTCCGATTAATGAAGGCTGACATGGTTCCCTTACATTCACGGATGTCTTAGAAGAATGGAACTTTTCTATTCCCTGGGATTAGTGGCATTTTATTGGTTGCCAGGCTAAACTTTTGTTTTTAAGTAAGCTCTCTCTCGCTTCCATAATCTGTATTAGTGTTGGAGTAAAGTGGGGATTCGTCGTGATGTCTTCAGAAATCAAGTTTGAGTTACAATCCTTTATTGCAGCTCATTGAAAGATTGATCAGTTAGTTGTTACACGGCCGTCGTTTATTGAAGATCCTAGTCAGGATGATCCAGGCCGACATGAAGACCACCCTGGATGCGGGCTTTCTATATTCCTTTCAGTGTAGTCTGAACCAATTCCCTCTCCTCCAAGAAATGAGAGGACATTAATAACCAACAATTGACAGGTGACACTACAAGACCGTGATCTGGTTACCCCCAGGAGTTGTACCACCTAGATCTTCTATTCCTTTTGTGGAGAAAAGACTGCAGGGCAGACACAGATGGCCAAGGACTCCTGTGTACATCACCAATATGGGCTCATTGACTTTGCTATAAAGATCTATTAATACCACTTTGTTCAACACATTGATTATAAACCAGGGGTGCCCAGACTTTTATGTGCTACAAACCACATTTCAAAAGGACCAGCTCAATGAGATCTACCAACTCAACCAGCTGAAAAGTCTACTCTGGCGCGGTGGTGGTAGTTTCAGGTGGGCATAGGACAGGTTATATCCCCACTTGCTCACTGATTGGCTGTGGCTGCACATAAAAGGTGAGGGGACACAGGACTGGTCATGGGAGATCTTCATTATCCCCATCGGTTCTGGCAGTGCAATTTCTGTGTGCCAGCCCTGTGTGCACAGCGATCTACCAGCATTGCTTTTGTGATCCACTTGTAGATCACGATCTACCTATTGGGCACCCCTGTTAAAAATAATGTGTACACGCTACACCTTACTAACGGCATATTCCTTTAGTGAAGGAATGATGATGGCTGGCATATTATAAGTGATTACAGACTTTGTTGATAATCACTCATTGGTACATTAGCTACGTGTGTGATGTTTGGGATATTAGAAGTGAATACAGGCTTTGGTGATAATGACTCTTTAGTGCATTAGCTCATTTGGTGACTGGCTAGGTATGACATCTAAAATTTGGCAAATTTCATACAGATTGTTGTAAGACAATATGTGGCAAACACACTGGGCATAGCTGGTCGGAGGAGCTACAATAAGCATGGCGCAGAGGCTCCCAACTGGTAAGACAGAAAACCATGACAATACAAGAGTGTTATTAAATATCTGGGTACAGTAAAGTCATTGTGAGCCCTTTCCAGGCTGTCACCCTTCAATGGATTCACATCTACACCAGAAACTAGAGAGGAAACAATCCTCAATGTTCGAGCTGCCCAATGTATAGTACCGGAAGGAAACAGTCAAGTGCTTTAAATAATTGTAAGAGCAAAAGAAGCCATAAAAAGTATTGTTATGGATCACCTTTAATTGAAACACGATTCAATGTACATTGTGTAATATTTGGAAAAAGAAGACGAAACACAAGGTTCAAAGCCACGGGGACGCCTCTTGCTGTCTGAAAAGACCAGGAACAGAGAGCGAATTCATTTCACAACTCTGCAGTCATCTGTGGACATAAATCAAGTCAAACAAGTGCTGTGTGTAATAAAACCAAACACAAAATAATAAAGTGCCCACTCATCTGTAACCTTACCAGATATCGCAGGACGTCCTTCATAATCCTCAATCATCCTGAAAGTGGAACATCTAAGAACATCATCATGTGGAAACTAGCACGCATACCACCTAAAAGAACATGGAACCTAACACAGAGACAGGTCTATAAAAGGCAATCCTACAGTGAATATTTACAGCATTTCAAACAAGAATTACAAGCCAGTTCTCCTGGATCTCACAGCAGAATCTGCTAAAGACCTGGAACAGAAAGGGACCATGACAGGGATGTCATTTTCAAAACTCCGCCATGGAATATTTGAGGATCGAATCTTCAGCTATCAGAAAATATACATACAGGATTACTTACAAGCCAAAAAAAATAAATCTTGAACACCAGAGAAATAATGGCATTGCACAAATTAAAAACAAACTGATGAACAATTGTGAGTTGTAACAAACATTGAGTCACATTGTACTCAAGAAAACATTTGCCAACATAAACTAGCTCAAAATGAACAGAAATGAGTCTAGAAGAGTCAATAGGCAACCGGTACAGCTCTGGTAGACAATGTTTACAGATTGTAAAATCGCTGTGAGGTCTTTATCGGTCACTCCTTTAGATGAAGCACAGTTACAACAGATAACTGTATTCCGAATGCAGGACACAGGGACTCTAATCCGAGTCGCACGTGGTTAATATTTCCAACTCTTCCATGGAGTAACTGGTTGTGGTGGAGCTTGTAGGTGTTTTCTTGGTATAATCTTTATCCACTAAAACCATTCCACGTGAAAAGCTGGAAGGTTGCTTTAATGCGGCCCCATAGTTTGAGGAAAAACTATAACTGGATTGTACCATTCCCAGGCCCGAGGTGGAAAAGTTACTCGCGGGACCGTCAGGGACTTCACAGGCCATGTCAGAATCATCAACGTCTTCGCTGGCTATATCAGGCACCGTGGGGTTAGTAGGCGTCTGTTTGGCAGGTGGAAGGCTTTCCAGCTTGGCCTTCTTTTTTGGAACCTCTACCTTGGGAGGAGCATTTGCAACCTCTGCTTCGGTATCTTGGTCTTCAGAAGCTACTAGATCTTCGGGGTCCTCCTCAGTAGCTATCAGCTTGTAGTAAGAGTCAAGTTCTTGCTGCATTGCTTGTTTACTTATAGAAGTACTACTGGGGAGTGGTTGGCTTTCAGTAGCTACAGGCTTATCAGTAATGGGTTTCGGAGCTGCAAAAGGTGTGATTTTTATGTCCTTACAGCCTGCGTCCGATACGCGGCCAAAGAAAGAGTTGGGAAAAGACAAAGGTTCCCTTTTAAATTTTTGGTTCAGTTTGGAAGTTGGATTATAAGAGGGTTTTGGTGGCACCTCAGTCACCACGGGTGAAGGCAATAGTTTTTTCTCCTTAACGCTCTGGATGTGTGCAATAAAAACTTTTTTGGTTTCTGGAGGTTTCATTTCGTTCGCGGCCTTAGGATTTGAACTTTGAGAAGACGAATACTCCATCCGACCAGTCATTGGATTCATTGACAGAGAGGGACTCTTTCCAGCTTGAGAAACTGCTTGCTCAGGTTTATCAACTGACTTCTTTTCTGGAGGGCCCTTCTGCTTTTTTGGCAAGGGCCCAATTATTTTCTGAGTATGTGGTGTACTGTTTGCTGAACTGGCTGCTACTCCTTTAGCTGGCTCGGGTGAAACATTCTTACTCTGAGCCTCAGATGTTCGAGATCCTGCTGCATGTCCTGGACTCTGATGCGGAGTGCTTTGTTCTTGCTGGGCTTTCTCAGAAGTTTTGCTCTGCGCTAACTTACTGGAATCGCTGGAAACAGTTTGTGAGGGATTTTTGGAAGTTGTGGGACTCAGTGGTTTTGTGGATGGTGCCGGTTTACTGACGTACCCAGCATTCCCTTTGGCACCCCGATTAGGAGCATTTGCGGTTTTCTTTTTATTAAACAGCATATCATACAAGTCACTGTTCTTATTCTTCGGAGAGGTCGTAGTGGTTTGGGGAGCAGCCTTTGGAATCGGTTCCAGATCCCTATCAGTCTTATTACCTTTATTCACTGTCGGAACAGGCTCTGGTTTGGTTTCCTCCACTGCTTTTAGAACCACCTCTTCACCTTCAAAAGCTTTAGAAACAATATCTTCCGATAGAAAAGTCTGAGCGACGCCTTTGACTACAGGTAAAGATCTGGATGTGGCATCGGCAGACTTTATTGACAGGAATGTGTTTAGAGGGGCGGGCTTGCTTAGAGTCGCACTGGACCTTCTTAGGAGAGCCAAAGGAACTGGTAGGTTTGGTCTAACTTTAAAACGTGTGCTAGTCGCGGAACTGGACTCAGTGGTGATAAAAGAGGCAGCAATGGAGGAGGTGGTCAGTGTGGAGGTTGCCAAAGGAGGAGTACTAGTAGTAGTAGTCTGAGTCGTACTCTGGGAATTGCTGGGTTTACCCAGAAGCTTAATTTCAATTCCCTTTGGCTTGACAGCATTCCCCTTGGCCTCCTCCTCTTTTTCTTTCACTGCTGGCCCCTCAACCTTCTGCGTGGTGCCAGCCGCTTGACTTTTGTTCTCTGTTGACTTCCATGTAAACTTTCCGAACGTCGGGGTTTTTACTGGCTCTTTCTCTGGAGTTTTTGATTTCCGTTTTGGTTCAGGTTTGACAGGCGAGAGGGACTTCTGTGGTCTGCGTCGGCTACTACTACTGCTACTGCTCCTTTCCTGGTCGTGGTCTCTCTTCGATTTCTTCGATCGGCTTTGCTCTTCGCTCTGCAGTTTACGTTTTTGTTCCGCTTGCTTGCGTGCTGCCTCTTGGGCAGCAGACAAGCTGGCCTTCTTCCTCTCACGACGTGACACTTCATAATTGATGTTCTCATCTGTATATTTCTGGTAACATGAATGAAGGAAATAACATTGCAGTATTAGATTTAATACATCAAGTAACAAGACCAGAGAAAAAAAAATGTATCAAACTGTTACTTGTTACAAGAAAACAATCAGACCTTAGAAGTTATTTCAGTACAGCGTGTGAACACCGGAAGGCAGAGCATCAATATGAACATGTATTTACATATAGCGTTTAAAAAACCTCAAGCAGAGTTCTGAAGCTCTCATAGGAACCTGTCCTCACTTTACTTTCTAAGGTGATTTCCAGGCCTTCATGGAACTCAGTTACCCAGAACCCATGTGTTCTGTTATGCAAATGTCAATCACAACTCCCATGGTCAATCCGCAGCCCACCACCTTCTGTGCCTTCTGCAAACACTGGTCACCAAGAAGAAGGCAAGATGGGGATTGACCATGGAAGCTGCTGAATTTGTATAACAGAAAGTCCAGATTTTGGGGATAACCAGGCACTGGTTCTGAAGAGCGAAATTAATCAGACCTTTGTTTTCTACAAAACAGGGCCACCTCAGAAGGCAAGGACTACATGTGGGCTACATATACACTTAGCAACCTCCAGCTCCACTCAGGGCTGAATACAGATGGCAGTGACATCTTTTAAAAGGTATAACCACCAGACTTTACTTCAAAGTTTTGAACAATGAAGACAAGGCCTGGAGATTTATAGGGCTCAGGCCTACAATAAAAGATATGGCAAAAGTTTGCTCCATACAGCTTTAAAATGCATTATAAGCTGAATCCCCCCTAGTTTTGGTTGAAACATTATTATTATAATACAGGATTTATACAGCTCCAACAGTTTGCGCAGCACTTTACAATATAAGAAAGACATTACAATCACTATACAATTCAAGACAAGATGGTAAGGAGGGCCCTGCTCGTAAGAGTTGAACATGTGTTAGAACCCGCCATATTTATTGCTGTCTGTGTAGCCACTGGGGAGATTTACCATCTCTATTTGTCCTGGTGTCACCGAGACAGAAAGCAATGGGAATTTCAGAATGTTTACAGTTGTCAACAGAAAAGGAATAGAAGGGAAATTTCCCATTGGGATCACTGGTTCCCCCATATAGAGACTGATCTACATGGAGACTTCTTTACAGAATACATACCATATAAATATGCAAGACTAGCCCACTGTCTATTTTAAACAAGTATTTGAGTTGGGTTCATACCCATATATCAACTTACAGAAAGACAAGAATGGATACATTTAAAGTAGTAGAAAACCTAAAATATTAACCATTTGTAGAGAAATTGCTACTGCATGCTCCCTCCAGTGCTGATCAAACTACACAAGATTGATGGAGAATTAGACAATCGCCATCATAGCATCACATCAGCATGATGGAGAGGAACACATCAGATCCTGGTCATCTTGCTTGGAAGTTTTTTTAAAATATTTAGTAAAAGACGAGCAGCAGATAACAGCCAACGCATTTCAGGTTCAGGGTCTTGCCCTTCTTCAGGACTTCTAGAATGGTTAATCAAGCCTTAAAAAGCCTAGATTGGGGCAATAATGGAGCAGAGTGTCAGCGTAACCTGACCAGAGTGAATGCTGTCCAATGTATCTCAAAGATACATTCAGCAGCCTTCACTAAGGTAAGGATTTGCTGACAGTCAGCCCCAATCTGGGCTATTCAGCAAATTCTACCTCGATTTACCCTTATACAAGTCTTGGTGTCCAACCTCCAAAACCAGTTGGCTGGTATCTGACTTTGTCTTCTATTAACATCTTAAAATTCCAAGTGAAATGAACAGTTTTACTAGATGCTCCCAACTACATGTTCATGATTTGAGCTTCTGATGAGCGATTCCCCTATCACGGTCAGCAGTCTGATCCAGGTCTACACACACAGTTCTCCGCCTTCAAGGAGCACACCCCTTCCATTTTATTTCCATCAACACACATTCTCAGAAAATGGGTATTGTTTGTTTGCATTTTAAAATTGTATTTCTGTTAGTAGTGTGAGCCTCTTACTCAACACCACACTCCTGCTGTACTCATCTAGCCAACAACATTTCTGCCTTCCTTCACCCAACCGTGTACAGTTTCTGGAGTAACAGAAGACTTATGGGGAGGGGGTAGATAAACAAACCTTGAATTTTTCATTGTGAGAATAAGTTCGGAGATGTTCATCAGCTTCCACGTGATCCGCAAAGGAATGATAACAAAGTGAGCAGCAATAGCCTTTAGTTGGTACTATAAACTCAGCACCTGGGGGCCAAGAGCAGAAATGTCAGGTACATACAGCATGGCTGAACTCTTGCTAACGGATCATGTACACTGGGTGACTAACCTTTCAGAGGGACAGTCAACTTCTTCTTTTTTGGACTGATTTCAGGATCTTTCTTCTTTACCCAGGGCCTCTTGGGTTGCTTTACACACTATTGCACCCCAAACAAAAACACAAAAGAGGATGTAAATATGGTCCATAATAAGTTTAACGCGTGTGTATTCAGTACAATTTGTCTATAGAAAATACAACCACCCCTCCACCTGCAAACCGAGAAATCAAGTTATCTGGTCCTTACCTCACTGTGCTTTCTTTCATGGAAGTGTAGGAGGTACTCAACTAAGGTCATGCAGACACTATTGCAGTCCTCACACCAATGCCCACCAGAATCATAATAGTCAAATATGTCCCCGTCTTCTAAAAGAGGCGGGTCCTCTTTCTTAGGAGCGGCCTTTAAAGAAATGATGGACCGAAGATTTTTCGACCTGGACATGTCTGGCGAGCTCACGATTTCCTCAGACTTTGACGAGGAAGGTGAGCTGCATTCCGATTTATCCCGCTTGTCAGAACTGAGCTTTGGAGATCTCGAAGACCGTTTACGCTTAACATGATCATCATCATCATCCGCCTTCTCTGACAAGTGCGACGAGCTGACAGAAGGGGAAGCTTCCCCTGACTTTCTATCAGAATCTGATTTAGAGCTGCTCTTGGATTTAACGTCGGCTTTTTTATCTGTCGTGGGTGAGAAGTCTCTGCTGGTCTTCTTCGAGTCGCTTCTCTCTTTCGAGTCCTGCCTGGTCTTCAAGCCGTTCTTCTCCTTGACGCTTGAGCTGGATTTTGCCTCACTGTCAGAGTCCTAGATAAGAAAGGAGCAGCATCTAAGTAAGAAAAGGAACTGAAGGGAAAAACACTGAAATAACTTTGATTTTACAAAATACATGTAGATGGAGAAGAATCACAAAAAAACAGAAATGTAGAGCTACCGACAGTCAGAGATGTGACAGTTTCAGTACTGCAAGAACAGGACTTCTGAACAGTGCTCACCCGGGATAAGGCAGGAGAGGCAGAGCTCTTCCCCTTTTCTTTAGAAGCTTCCTTTTTGTCTGCTAAATCCATGGGGCTAGCGCCTAAGATCTCTGCCACCTTCATCAACAGCAGCTGCTTATGCTTGGTTTCAGCAATTTCCTTGTTCAGAGAGCTGATCTGCTTGCGGGCACTATCCAGAACATTGTTCAGTTCCTCCAGCAGAGGGTCCTTATGACCGTCTTTCTCCCGACGCTTCTTCCGCTGCAGGATCCCTGTGACATGACAAAAATCAGGACAGCTGTGATGATTTACGGCAAAACAACTATTTCTATGAAATATATCCAATATCACTGACCCACCCACCGCTTGGTCCAAGTATGGCAGAGTAATAAAGGAGAAGGGTTCCTCACCATGCTGTGTACGCAGCAGCTCCACCTTTGTGCTCAGATTCTCCAGGTTTAAAGTCTTGGCTTTCACCTCCTTCTTGAGTCCCTCCAACTCATCCAGCACCTTCAATAAATGGAAGCATTTTTTTTTTCCCCACGAGTCATCATCTCAACATTTAGTAACTTCAAATCCAGACTATTCTGAGAAAATAACACATTGGAGACTCCACACTTACCTTGAACTCTGACAGCTCAGAACGTCGTCTTCTACTAAATAACAAGTCATGATACATCAATGATGACATTGACCCAAAACGTCAAGTAACTGCACAAGAATCCTGTGAGGTGGTAGACTTAACACGGATCGGCAGATAAGAAGAAGTCTCATACTGTGTCCCAGGCAAATAACATAGAAATACAAACCTAGTGATGGCAAAAAAAGACCACGTGGTCCATCAAATCTGCCCCCCGCACCCTCCCCCTTTTTTAATGCAGTTACTTTTTATTAGTATACATTTCTGTCTGAGGATAGATCTGCATTTGTCCCAAGCATATTTGAATTCCCTTATTGTTGATTGTCTCACAACCTCCGCTGGAAGTTAGTTTTGAACTTTCCTCTTCCTAGATTAAGGACTTGTCCTCGTATTATTGATCTCAGCTTCACACTTATACTGCCCTTCTGGCCCTTTTTTACACCCTTCATGTGTTGTATCTAAAGATGGAGTTCAGGTCCCCCATTGCTATCCATTCCTGCCAGGCTGAATATATTAGGTTCCTCCAGTCTTCCCATGGGTCTGAAGGATAAAACCTACTTTTGTTAGCTGCTATGGAGTTTTTCTTTTTATAAGTGAGGTTTCTAGTAGGGATGCACCGAAAACCGATACTAGTATCGGTGCCGAGCACCCAAATGCTCCGATGCTTATCACGATATTTCCAGTATCAGGAAGCCGGGCGGCGAGTCATTACACACTGGCCGGCTTCCTGATTGACTTGTGACGAGGGAGCATGAAGTCAACTTCCCGGCAAATCAGGAAACTGGGCAGCGAGTCATTACACGGTGGCAAGCTTCCCGACCAATCAGGAAGCGGGGCACCATGTAATGAAGCGACACCCGTCTTTCCGATTGGCCGGGAAGCCAGCTTCATGCTCCATCGTCACTTCATGACGAGAAAGCATGGAGCCGGCATCCCGGCCAATCCCGCGGCGCCTGACTTCCTGATTGGCCAGAAAGCCAGCTCCAGGCTCTCGTCACCTAGTGGGGACGGCTTCCCTGCTAATCGGGAAGCCAGGTGGCGAGTCATTACACGCCGCCTGGCTTCCTTAATGGGACTTCCGGTATCGGCGAGTACCAAAAAAATATATATTGGCACTCGATACCTGAAATACCGGTATCGGTGCATCCCTAGAATTGAACACAGTAATCTAAATCAGGTTGAACTATAGTCTAAGGCAGAGGTGGGTAGCCTCGGCACTCCAGCAGTTGTGGAACTACAAGTACTGTAAAGCATTGCAAGACAGTGGCAGCCACAGTCATGACTCCCAGAAGCAAGGGCATGAGGGATTTGTAGCTTCACCAAAGCTGGAGTGCCTACTCCTGGTCTATTCACTCACCCTATAGGGTAGATTACTATGGCTACTGCGCATCCAGTGGTTACCTGCGGCTAGAGACAGATGACAGGCCTTGGACGCAGACAGGTTGCATCAAGGGATGGTCGCCTGTCCTTGGCCGCTGAATGTGTGGAAACATGTGAACATCGTGTCATTGCTTTATACATGTTTCCTGGGCGCAGCTGTCCGCAACTACCTTTGCCTTTTGATCAGAGTCCTCTTCTCCAACTACTACACCCATCATCCCTTCTCAGTGCAGTAAGCAGAAGAAGAATACAATCTCGTTTTTTTTCCACCAGGAAGAATTTAGAATTTTTACACCCCTCTCCACAGTATCTTTTATTGAAAAAAGAAACTCAATACGTACCTATTTCCTGTATTCTTCTTGCTGGTCCAATGATATCACCGGCACTATGGTGGCGGGACAGGCATTTCTCCAGGCCTGCACGGTGCTCATGTAGTGACGTGTAGGCGCCGCTCAATCCAGGAGTATTGTGAATCCAGCCTGAGTGAGGCGCATCCTCTAAGCGGGATGACAGGCCGGGCTTTCAGGAAATGGGCAGAATGACAGAGCCGTTCAGCCCTGTATAGGACCGCTGGTGCCGGTCAAGGAGGAAGTCAGAGAAATCGCTGGAACGCGCGGAGGGTAGGTAGAATTTGTTTTTTCAGGTCAGGGGAGTGTAAAATAGAAATACATTTCCTGGTGTTCCATTATAACAAGCTCTTCCAAGATAAAGCGTTTCAATGTTTACATGCGTCGGTGGGCCTGTACAACATCACTTCTTCTGATCAGGTCACTACACATCTCAGGAACACAGTAATATGCAACTACAGAAAATTGACTCCAAGCAAATCCTGCTAGGAGTGACTTCTGGAACCTATGGTTCTTCGAGGGCCAAAAATAATTCAGGGAGAACACTGGACAAATTTACTTTAACTCTCCCGTATTTGATGGAAAATGCTCTGCAAAGGTAAATTCACATTACACTGCTGGATAAGCAAATTTTACCATGGAGGGGGCCACAATGGCCGCCATCTCTAAGGTCAATGGGCGAGAATATCAAGCTTGCTTTCATTGTTTGAACTTTTTTTGCACTACATCCGATCCCCTATTATTTTATTGGGAATGACTACAAGGTGAGAATCCATTTGAATGATAAAGGTCACTCAGACAAGTGCTTTCGGGGCCACACAGGGTCCCCTTCATCAGGCTCACAAATTACATTTTTGAGCCTGATGAAGGGGGCCCTGTGCAGCCCAGAAAGCGCTTGACTGAGTGACATCAATAAAATGGATTTGCACTGATATTCAAGCTTTATCCTGGTGTGCTGGTGACATCTATGTTTAAAGGAGATCTATGAGGCGAGTGATTTCCATTCATCCTCATAGTTAGAGCCGACCTGTGACAAAGAAACTGTCAAAGGTTGGCTGTATCGATCGGGAAGTGAGCAGAAACATGCAGCCGATCTGCTCACTTGCAGTCACCGCTGCTCGCAGGGGTCCCCCCCCCCCTCTAGCGCTGAGTGGAGGAACGGACGGGGGAGGGCACAGCTGGCTCTGCCTCTAGATAGGCAGAGCCAGCTGTCACTAACGCAGCTGGGTGGATTGACAGTAATGTCAGGATCCGTCCCAGCTCCGGCGCTTACGGTATGCCCGCGATATACCTAGCTTTGGGTCACGGGAGTATGCTAGTATATGTCCTCCTGTGACCCTAAAGAGAACTATGGGGAAAACACTTACCCCATAGTTCTCTTTTAAGTTTCACTGGAAGCGGCGCCATCCGCAGTCATTACGACCTCCCATTGCTCTGGGATATCCGGTAAGGAGTGCGGCGAGGGATTTGGACATTGATTACAAGGTACTTTGCAAAGAAAATAACACAATGTAAGATTAACATCAAGCGACAATGGTAACAAAGAGAAATATATGTACTGTTCTTCCAAGTCAAAGCAGAAATGAGAGTTCTGGAAGGGACTTACTTTAAGCTTCTCGTATTCTTTATTTCTTCGTTCAGCTTCATGTTTCGCCAGCAGCCCCGAGGGGGTTTTCGCTTCATTCTTTGCCGATGTTTTGAGGTCATTTGCTGCATTGACCTCGGTGAAATCTTCACTTGTTTCAATGACGCGTAGGTTACTGCGGGATTTGTGTGTACAAGGGTGGGCTAAATGAGAGGGGGATATTGCAGTTGGCATATGAGTGGGAGGCGGCTGGTGAACTGGAGGGGGATACAATGTCCAGCTGGATGTTGGGTATGTCACGTAAGGCCCATATGGGTTATACGTGGGAGGTGGGACTGCATAGTTGGGCACCATTGTGGAGGTGGTGTATGGAGAATAAAGAGGAACCTGAGAGGGGCTCATAGGAGGAGGGGTCAGCTCCTGAACAGTAGCAACTGTGGGTGTCTGAACCGTGCCAATCCCCTGAACGGTGCTGATCACCTGGACTGAGCTAACACTGGATGTCTGTATGGGGCTAATCGTCTGCTCTGTCGTCTCTGCTCTGGATGTGGGCTGGCTCTGCTCGTTGGCAGTCCTTGTCTTTGTTACAGGTGGTGTCTCCTCTTTGAAAGAAGGTCCCGACTGCTGGGCAACTGGTGAAGGCTTTTCCTTGGCGAGGAGCTTTGCAGGTGCCTCAGTTTTTACTGCTACTCCAGAAAGGACGTTCGGCTTCTGTTCAGCTTTCACGGTCAGTTCAGATTTGGATTCGGCAGAACTGGCGGTGGATTTCTGGGGCCCCACAGTTGAGGATGCCGATATCTTCGGTATTAATTTCTTTCCATGAAGACGCTCCTGAGTCCTCACGGCGAGCTTACTGATCTCTGCCACACCAATATCTAATCCGATAGTCTTTAGCAGATCATGGATCTTGGCGTACTCCTTCTCATCAGGATTATTCTTAGGAACGTTTACCGGTGGAGGAGTTGGCTTGGGTGGCTCTTTGCTGGGCTCGGGGGTCTTGTCGTCCTCGTCCCCGTACAGAAATCTCTCCTCTTCTTCAATCTCCGAGAGGCTCCTCTGCTTGTGATCAGAGACACTTGCTGGAAAGCTGTCCCCTCCTAGAGCTGGACTTTTAACAGCTTCCATGGTGTTCCGAAAAGACGCTGTGGAACTGAAGGGAACTCCAGAAGATTCCTTTGTGTTGAGCAAACTCAAGAAATTGCTTTCAGAAGAAGCAGGGGGCCTTTTTGGGGGGTCAACTGCTAAGGCCGAAGGCATAGGGTTTAGAGTGGCTTTGCCAGTAAACTCTTCCTTTGTGTTCAAGCTTCTGCCCCCAGCTGGTGCAAGAGATTGGGAGATCCCAGTTAAATGCGGAGAGCCGGAATTTCTAACCGTGGAAGGAGGGACCGGACTGGCCTTCCTGTCTCCTAGCGGCATAACGCCAACGTTGGTCAGAGAGGACGATGAAGTCTGTACGTTTCCAAGACTTGAAAAGTTGCCAAACTGTTTAGGGAATTATGGGGGGAAAAAACAAAAACCTGTAAATGTTAAGTAATCAGATATGACTATAATTTTTATAGGAACAAGAAGACGAGGAAATATTACATGCCGAGTGATTACAATAGAACATGTGTAAAGTACAAGCGATCAATCAGTGTCACCAAAGCCTCTCCGAGACCTTCTACATTAGGAAACTGCCCAGGTCTCAAAAAAAAAATTCTCATACAACTTTATAGACAGTAATAAAACATTAAAGCTTTAATCCGGGCAGCAATTTGTTGTCATTTTGTATCTTTATCTCTATAAATGGCCGCTATTCCCCTGGCTAGCAGTTGTCCAACATTCGTGGTGTAGTTCCTATGCAGTGAGCGGCAAAATAATAATAACTATTGGTGCACCGAAATAGAAGTTTCAGAACGAAACAAACTAAAAAATGCCAGGCCGAAACCGAATTTTTTTTTAATTTCTAATCTTTTTTTAATTATTTTTTCTCATATTTTATTTCTATTTATTGTTTTACTTTACTGTCAGGGCAGGGGCTCTGAGGAAATATCAGGGGTCTAAACAGAGTCCTCAATCTCTTTCTGCCGTCCCGTTATGAATGAACTGGAAGCCTCTATACAGAGTGGTCCTGTCCATCCATAAACTAAAAAGATGCATCATTTACTAGGTCCAAAATCATGAACAGGAAGTGATGTAGACCACTTCCTGTTCATTCATAATTGGGGACACAGTAAGCATACTATGTCCTCAATTATTTACACACTACAACACTCATCGATCAGCTGATCGCTTGTAACCGCTGTTACCTGAATTACTATTTTAAGTTATGAACCGCTATATAAGCATTCACACTTACAGGTTTGAGATTCTGAGGATTCATTCATGAGATTTTTGAGCTCAACACAATAACAGAATTTATTGGTATATAGTATCAAGACTTAAATACAATGAACCAACAATCTATTTAACTACAACATACAAAGAAAAGATTTAAACATGCCAAATACCCAGACATTGGTATCCAACAGACAAACAGACATACAGTTAAGTGGGGGAAAGATTATATGTATAGTTACCCATTAATCGTCACATGAGGCCCCATCCTGGTGAAAAGAGGCCGAGCTGCTTTTTACAGTCATTAATATACCACAGGTGTCCATAGGGATGCATGGCACGTCTCCCAATGGTTGCCTCCCAAGGCCTAATGGAGATTGGAGGGTTTCCAAGACCCTCTTTACAACTCCACACCCCTCTCTACGATTGGCCAGTCTACTTGTTATTAGATCAAAGGGTCTTGGCTCAGGAAAAACCTGATTACCAGCCCTATTTGCAAGTCATTGGGCCTGCCACTCCCCTCCACAGTGATAAACACAACAAAGACTTTATTTCCCTACAAGCTACCCCCACCTATTTAAAACAAGAAATACAACTATATACATATGTCTTATGAAGATTTGACATAAACTCATAAGGTAACAGTTCCCTCCTTGTGGCCAGTAAGATTAGGCCACACACAAAACGATGATGGTTTATGGCTAATCTCCATTAAACTCAGAGCATTTGCCATTGTCATAAATACATATTTTTAACCAACTATCTTCACAGTCCATCATCTTGAATCTCAGTAGTCCATTACTTATTCTTGTTGCCATAAAAAATAAAAACCTCAAGGTTCTAAGTTACAACAATATTTTTCTTCTTTTTTTTCACCAGGATGGGGCCTCATGTGACGATTGATGGGTAACTATACATATAATCTTTCCCCCACTTAACTGTATGTCTGTTTGTCGGTTAGATACCAATGTCTGGGTATTTGGCATGTTTAAATCTTTTCTTTGTATGTTGTAGTTAAATAGATTGTTGGTTCATTGTATTTAAGTCTTGATACTATATACCAATAAATTCTGTTATTGTGTTGAGCTCAAAAATCTCATGAATGAATCCTTAGAATCTCAAACCTGTAAGTGTGAATGCTTATTTAGCGGTTCATAACTTAAAATAGTAATTCAGGTAACACCGCTCTGCATCTGGACTCCTTCGGCTGTCTCAGGAGGCTGAGCGGCCTCCTATGGACACAGCAAACTCCTCCCCCGCACCGCCGGCTCGGCCGCCCGTGACAGCTGTCTCAGCCTCCGCACCGCTCTCCATCCTGATCTGCCAGTCACAAGAGGGCGATCGGGGTGGTGAAGGAGTAGAGCTCAGCCTGTGACACCGCTCCCCTCATCACTCGGCGCTGCTGCTTCAAAAAAGGACACAGAGCAGCGAGGAGAGAAACCTAGGTATGTAGCACATTTGCTACCAAAAAAATGGCACTTTTGTCATTTTGCCAAAGTACCATTTTCAGTCGATATGTTGCGGCGGCCGAAATTTTGGTGCATCCATAATATTTATATTTGATTAACAGGTCAGGAGACACATGCTCTGTCACACCCATCCACTCCTGCTGGAAACAACTGGCAGGCTATCAGCAGCTAGGTTCACTGTAAGAGCTCCACCTGACAGCCCATTCACTGCTACGATGCCCATTGCATGACGGGAATTGTAGTTTGCTTCATCAACCTTGCACCAGGACAGGAAGTGATACTTCAACATTTCCTCCTCCCGGTATCTGGCCATTTTGATTCAAATCGATGATGTCACTGGGTTTTACAAAACATTTTACTTCGAAAGTATTGTTTTAGGATTGAAGTGTTACCACTTGAATTCTGCACAGGGATATGTAGAGGTAATCCGATTCCAGAGTTCAGCTTTAACCCCTTAAGGACCCTTTTGCTGTCAAGCCCTTTTTTTTGCATGCACGTTATAATGCACATTTTAGGCCTGAAAATTACTCCAATCCCCCAAACATTATATATTTTCTGAAAGCCAAGACCCTGTAGAATAAAATGGCAGCAGTTGCAAATTTTTATGTCTCACGATATTAGCGTAATTCTTTATCAAACCCAAAAATATAGTAAAAAATGCACTTAAGTTAAATTTTTGTGTGCCCGAAACACAATATAAAACTTTTTTTTAAAAATAAAACATAAAAGACGAGGTTACAACGCATAAATAGATACCAAACATGGATAGGTTAAAAATAGTGTGCATCTGTGAAACCGCGACGAAATTCAGTACCCCAAAAAGTCCATAAAGATACATGTAAATATTGACCCTAGAATTATTGCTCTCACTCTGGCGTGTGGCGATACCCAACAATGTTTGCGTGAATATGCACCTGCTTACGGGGGGGATTTTAAATATGTTTTTACATTATTTTTACATTTACTTTACTTACACACGAGAACAATGATTTGATCCCCTGCAGATTTTCTTAGTGTGCCCACTTACAAAGAAATGAAAGGTCTATAATTTTTATCATCGGTGTATTTTACATGATAGAGACATAATATCAACCCAAAATCCAGAAAAAACACGATACAAATGTTATAAATGGAGTCGCAGTTCAGGGAGTAACATAAGTATTTGATCCCAAAGAGACACGGACGCTCGCAAGGGACGGAACCCGGAAGCCAGCATCGGCCGGAGGACACAGCGGGGCTCGTGGACAAGGCAAGTGACGTGCTGTGTAATCCTGAGTGTGGCTCGGGGTTACCGCTTTTGGTACTGAAAATTAACCCCCGAGCCACACTCGGGAATAACTCCAGGGAGGTTAAGGTTTCTTGGCTGTCGCTTGGCAACTCGAAGTTTCAGCTCCCTCCATACATTTTCTATAGGATGAAGGTCTGGAGACTGGCTAGGCCACTCTATGGCCTTAATGTGCTTCTTCTTAAGCCACTGCTTTGTTGCCCTTGCGGCAACAAAATCTGCAGGGGATCAATTATTTTCCTCACTGTATGT